TTTATATTATTTTAGTTTATTATATTATTTTTATATTATTTTAGTTTATTTTATTATTTTAATTTATTTATTTTATATTATTTTAATTTATTTTATTATTTTTATAATATTTTATATTATCTATTTTATTTTATTTTATTATTTTTATAGTATTTTATATACTATTATCTATTTTATTTTATTTTATTATTTTTATAGTATTTTATATACTATTATCTATTTTATTTTATTTTATTATTTTTATAGTATTTTATATACTATTATCTATTTTATTTTATTTTATTATTTTTATAGTATTTTATATACTATTATCTATTTTATTTTATTTTATTATTTTTATAGTATTTTATATATTATTATCTATTTTATTTTATTTTATTCTTTTTATAGTATTTTATATTCTATTATCTATTTTATTTTATTCTATTTTATTATTTTTATAGTATTTTATATACTATTATTTATTTTATTTTATTTTATTATTTTTATAGTATTTTATATACTATTATCTATTTTATTTTATTTTATTATTTTTATAGTATTTTATGTATCTATTTTATTTTATTTTATTATTTTTATAGTATTTTATATATCTATTTTATTTTATTTTATTATTTTGTTACTTAAACGTAACGTTCGAACGTATAAATAGAGCAGAATTATATTTTGATTATTAATTAAGTTCTATCTCATATGTTTCATATTTATTATCTCTATAGATTTATTTTTGTTACTGAAACAATTTGTTAATTTCATTGTTAGTGATAAAGCGAGCAATGAGATTATTATAGTTTATTCTAAACTGAGAATTTTAATAATGATAAAAAATATTGAATAATTATTTTGAACAGTTTATTCTAAACAGAGAATTTCACTTGTACATAGTTTATTTCAAACAGAAAAAATATAATTTCATTTTACATGTTACTTTACTCGTCTCGTTTGCATAAATTTTACATTTGCTCGTTTCTCTATGAATTTATTTCGAATTCTTTTCTTTTAGTGGAATATTTGCGTAACGTCATCTGTAGATTAGGCGAATCTGTCTTTTTTCATATTTTCTGCTTCGAAACGTATGAGCATTGATCTTTAGACCCTGTCGGACGTACATGAGCCAGGTTTTGCGTGAATTTCATTGCGTAGTATAAGAGACTGCGTAATGCCGCAAAACCGGTCTTAAATGTTTCAAGTGAAAAGGCACATCTAATATACTCATCGTTTGCTTAGAGACTCACTTAGGATAGGAGGTTGTAATCTGTTTTGCTCTTTTATTCCCTTCTCGCTCGTTTTTTTTTTCTTTTTCATATTTTAGTAGTAGTATTTTAGCTCTCATTAGATTCGATTCATTTCCTCGTTTTATTATTTATTGAATTAAATTTTCGCGACTCGTTACTTAATTATTTCTATATTTTCGATGATTTTATGTAATTTTATATAATATAACGTTTATCTAATATTCTTCATTTTTAATTCTTTATCTTTCAATCCTTTTTTTTTTTTAATTCTTTATAAATTTATTCGGATGTTGCATACTTCTTTTCGAATGTCTCTGTTTTCTTTTTTACCAATTATTAAATTAGTAAATAATTTTTTTATTAATTATTAAATTAGTAAGTAATTTTCTTATCAATTATTATTTTTAGTAAATTATTAAATTAGTAAATAATTTTCTTATCAATTATTGAATTAGTAAATAATTTTTTTTATCAATTATTAAATTAGTAAATAATTTTTTTATTGACTATTAAATTAGTAATTTTCTTATCAATTATTATTTTTAGTAAATTATTAAATTAATAAATAATTTTCTTATCAATTATTATTTTTTGTAAATTATTAAATTAGTAAATAATTTGTTTATCAATTATTAAATTAGTAAATAATTTTCTCATCAATTATTAAATTAGTAAATAATTTTCTTATCAATTATTATTTTTTGTCAATTATTAAATTATTAAACTATTTATTTAAAACTTATTAAAATATACAATTATGAAATTATGAAATTATTAAAAGCTTTAAATATTTTTCATAACAGACATCTTGTCATTTCTTAAATTTCTTTCATTCTTTATTTTTTCATTTTTTTTCCTTTTTTTAATTATTGAAATAAATCTCTTCGAGTGTCATATACTGTATTTTATTATTTGAACATTTCTGGTGATTTCATTTCGATTGTATGTCAAAATAATTTGTAACAGAGCGACAGAAACTTGTATTTAGATAGTATATTTCATTCTTTTCTCTCTCCATCGTGTTCTCCTTTGTAATTGATATTTTAATTCTCACTGCCTCTTAAATTTCTCCGTTCTCTTCATTATTAATTATTAAATTGTTTCTTATTAAATTAAATCCCTCGAGTCGAACCTTTGTCTATTCGAGCTACGTATTTATTAATTAATTAAATACCTTTCGAAATAATTTGAATCAGTATGAAATAGCATCGTAGAGTTGCGTTGTATAATAACAGATGATATTAAATTCTTCTGTAAAGTATTAAAAAAAATTGCAAAAATCTAGGTCACTATCTCGTAGCCTTCAACCACCAATCGTTAGCATAAACGCTGTGTTGCTCCATTTTTTGCGTATTTGATATCTAACGCGGACAATCGATTTTTTGTGCAATCAATTACCTTCTTCAGTTTCAATTACAATCTGCAAATATTCACCCGCGTATATTTTACAAACGCACGCAAAACTAACTCTGTAATTCGTGTTTTTATTTTAATTCTAGTTCATACAAATTTATTTCACGTTCATGAGTTATTAGTGAATTGTTATAGTTACATTAGTTATTAGTTAAATAAATGAAAAATATTGAAATTTATTTATTTTTCGACAAATGAAATATCTTTTTTGCGAGCTCAGGATTATGACACATTTTATCTTTGTTTTTACGAGCTTCAGTATGAATTATCGACAATTTTTCATTGTCATTGGTTTAGTTATTAGTGAATTGTTATAGTTACATTAATTATTAGTTAAATAAATGAAAAATATTGAAATTTATTTATTTTTCGACAAATGAAAATATCTTTTTTGCGAGCTCAGGATTGTGACACATTTTATCTTTGTTTTTACGAGCTTCAGTATGAATTATCGACAATTTTTCATTGTTATTGGTTTAGTTACACTCTTTACTGCAGTTGAATAACAAATGTCAAAGAAATATTTTTTTTTTTAAATTCCAACAAAATTATTGAAGAAATTTTTAATTTTACAAAAAACGAAAATATTAAAGAAATATCAAAGCACGATTATCAGAAATACGTATATATTTATTAAGTATGTGCTATGTAGATGAAACTATGAAAATACTACAAAGAAAATTATTAAAAAAAATTTTTTTTTAAGTTAAACAAAATTATTGGAGAAATTTGTAATTTTACAAAAAACGAAAATATTAAAGAAATATCAAAGCACGATTATCAAGTATGTGCTATGTAGATGAAACTATGAAAATACTATAAAGAAAATTATTAAAGAAATTTTTTTTTTAAATTCAAACAAAATTATTGGAGAAATTTTTAATTTTACAAAAAATGAAAATATCAAAGCACGATTATCGTATATACATATATACATATATTTATTAATTATTTACTACGCAGATGAAACGATGAAAATTTCAATAAAACTTATGTATTCTCTTTAAATGTTCGAAATTTGATTTTGAAATCTTTATTTTTCCTAGAAATTTAAAATTTGTATCCACACTACGACTGGCTGTCGTTGCGTAAGTTTATTACAATTTTCGCCTAATACTCTGTCAGCGTCGTGTTTCACTTTCTCTCGAAGCATCTGAAATGCCACACGTGACTCTGATAGTGTAATCTTCGCATCAATCACTAATTATCTTATTTATGTCTGGTATTTCCTCTGCAGAATCAGAATAATTCTCACGTTTCTTGCACGTTGTTTCAATTATGCATACAGTTTTATCGTAATCTCTGTAATGAAGTACAGTGGATACCTCGATTATCAGAACTAGTCGAATAAATATATTCAGCTTTCTCTGTGTTAAAATTCAATATTTAAAAATTGCACTTCAAAATAAAATATCTCTGTTTTATATTATATTTTATCTTTTTCTATACTATGTACAACATTGTGTATACGTTCTTGCAATTTCCAGTTTTTTCCATAAAATTCACATTCTAGTTGTCATTAATAACATTTAATTTTTAAGTATTAAGATGTATTAATGCATTAATGTATTAACGTGCATGATGACTAATTCAGTATTGCTATTTACTGTGTAGATATTCGAGTTCATTCATATCTAGTTTCTACAAATTAAATTTTATAAATAAAAATTTAAATCGTAAAGTCTTAAATTTAAAATTGTAAAATTTAAATTTAAAATTGTAGAATTTAAATTTGAAATTCTAAATTTAAAATTTAAATTTAAAATTTAAAATTTAATTTAAAAACACATAGAAGCCAAAACATTTTAGATATTAAGACAAGTCTTTTTGACTCTCAAATAATATTGTTGTGTTATAAATATTGTCGCGTTATAAGTGATCTTATTGTAATTTAATTAGACTATCAAAATTTTGAATCTTAAATTGTATTTGACCTTAATTTATATGATACATTCTTTACAATGAGGATTAATATTAAATGAAACTAAAAATTCCAAAATTGAACGACTTCGGATTCTAAATTGTAACAGTTTTCCAATAAATTCTACTGATAATTAAACAGACAAATCCTACTTTCCCAATCACTATCATAGAAATACAAATTCTCAATACTATTAAACCTAACCCATTAAAGTTCTTCGATTTCTTGTAAAAAAATTCATTGTAAAATACAGATGGAAGAAATACGTTATTCTTTAATAATTAAAAAAAATAAATAAATAAATAAATAAAACTTGATGATATAAATCGATTGAAAAAAAGGTCTCTAATGGGCTAAATATTTCTTCAGACTTTCCTTGAAAGAATTTTCCTATGGAATCATGCTCCTATAAAGACACAACGCGTTCTTACCTTCGTGACGATATTCTCCACACTATCTTCCCCCTGAACTCCTGAAATTCTCCATCAAATCTTCCAATTAACTCTTCTCCCTCTCCTCTTCGGTCATTGTTGCTCGAACCACTGAATCCTGCCAATTCAACAATCACTTAATCGTTCATTCACAATTGTTCCATTCGACAGGACGAGCCCATTACTCTCCCTTCTTAATCGGAAGATCAGACTTGAAAATTAGTTTAGTTTTCTTTTTTTTTTTTTTATTTTGAAAAATTAAGAAATTAGATTTTGTTATAATTAACGTTTATTTCTTTTTTGGGGGGGGGGGGAGGGAATTAAAAAAAATTAGATTTCGTTGCTCCTAAAAGTTGGAAACTTAAATTTCATTCACACGAAATATTGGATTCCTTCAAATATTGGAAAATTAAAGTTTCATCGCGCGACTTTGCCAAAATATTTAGGAATATTGGTTTCTCGCACTGCTGTTTTCAGAAAATAAAGAAAAAAAGAAAAAAACTTTTATTGCACGTAGCTCTGGAAAGCTCGAGAACTCGAAAATCTCGTTACACACCTTTCCAATATCGAAGAAAAAAAAAAAGGAGAAAGATTCTGTCACACGGTTTCCACAAAGGAGTTCGACTTCCCAGTTGCACAGTTTCTAGAAGAACGATCCAACTTCCTTGGCACACTCCTCCGAGTATCGAGAAACGCCGAACTTTGTCGAGCTGGAGGACCGATCGATCGGTGGTTGGGCTCGCCGGTTTCGAGACCGATCGTCGAATGACCACCAGGCAAGAAGGAAGAACGATAGGATACCAAACGGAATCCCTACTCGTTTTCACTCTCACCGTCCTTATCCGTCCGTCTCGAACGATTTCGTCGGTGTTTCCTCGTCCTTCTCCAAGGCTCCCAACCGTACGGTTTGGCAGTGAAAGTATTCTCTTCCTGTGGTTACCTACGCGTACACCCAATCCCCTCTTACTTCTCTCTGACAATGTGGTAACAGCTGGTGCTTACACCACGGCTGGCATTGCTCCTCGCATACATGCACGTTGGAATAAAGTGAACATCAAATTTTTCGTTAAACTCTGTTGTTTGTTTGTAAAAACAAAGCACGAGTCTTCGAAATGCTTCCAACAGGCTGCTTCCAAGCAGCAATTTGGTATTAAGTAGTTTTGGTATTTAGTAGTTTGATATTAAGTTGATTTAACTGGGTACCTCGATGTTTTTGAATTTTGTAAAATTGTAGAATCTAGGGGAACAGACTGAATAATGAAATGGACATTTTGTTAAACATTTTGTCGTTTGTTGTAAAAACAGTGAAAAAATACGAAAGATACTTTTTTATATATTTAATTTTTGAATTCCATTAGTCGCGGAGTCTATTGAATTTTTGAACGACGTTACATTTCAAGCACCGTCCACCTTGGACTGTTTTTGATTAATTGGTGGATCTGATAACGAGTTTTATCTTTCTATAGTCGATAACTTTTAGAGTCGAGC